CATCTCGAAACTGGCATATCTCTCATAGTCACAGGATATAGCAGGTTATAACACGCAGAAATTTCGGCAATCAGTTGCAGCTGTACTCACTGCTTGGATCATTCAAAGAATGAAACGCCCAGTGAATGCTGCATTGCTGAAACAATCTGGGCATAGTTTCGACTTACGACGACTCCTACAAGCAGCTCCAGCGTATTTTTCAAGCCTCTAGAATAGTCACCTATGGTCGTTTTACACCCGCTCATGTTTACTGGCTTATGCCTGACAAAAGAGGTTGGAAATTCAGTTGGAAAAAGACTCTCACGCGAGATTATCGACAGTCAGGAAAAACTTTGCCAATGTCCCCTGCAGAATTGAGACCGTTTGAAGATCCCCTGTGCCGGTCATAATCCGCTGCACTGCGAGTGAAGGCACAGTGTCGAAGAGATAGGTTTCCAAGTGCGGAGGTGGCGAGATAGATTTCTGCAGATGAGCAATCTTTGTATTAACTGCGAATTCTTTGAGAAGTAAGTTAACCAAACGTTACTTCAGACCGAAACTGCTCAATCGGCAAAGCGTCAAGCTCAGACCGAAAGGTCAGCAGGATTCGAGTCCCGATCAGATTCATTTGCCTCTCTTCCTTCTGAGGTTGATAACTGAGTACCGCTCTGTTGAAAGGTTACATACAACTACACACCATGTTTGCTATATTGCTGCTGTACGATCTGCCTTCCAAATAAAACACTCTTGACTGGTGGCATGGAAATTGTGAACAGCACAATATTAACTTCATGAAAAGAAGAGCACCAAAACTGGCACTATCGTCAAGGTGGAGAGATTCCAACGGTTACGAACTTCCGTTTAATCGGTTGAATGCAAGACCGCAGTCGAAAAGCTTAAAGTCAAAATACTTGGAGAGAAACCACGTAACTTGCGGTGATATGCAACAGCGAGCGAAAGCATTAATTCTCGAAACGTCTTCTGTCAAGAAGATGATGGATTTTATTTTCCGGTGATCACTCGTGACCTATTAAGTAGATAAGTTCTAGTTTCGTCGAACGTCTGCACAGCGACAGCGTCAGCTGCGGATTAGCTTGGATAAGAAGCTTATGTCAATCGCAGACATCCAATCCGGGACACAGATGACAGTCTAGAAGAGTAAGTGTGTTCTTGCCGCACCTCAGGAGGGATCGTCTAGCCGAGGGTGAGTTAAAGTGTCGAATGACCGTCGAAGCGAAGTCAAACCGCACGCGGATCGCGCGTTCACTTACACTGCGCCGTTTTGTATACGAAAAATCCGCTCGATTCTTTCTTGCCTATCATCCGCTCCTCGTCGCACTGCAGCACGAAGTACTTCTCCCCTTCGAGGCGCACTCCACTGGCCAGAACACTGTCCCTGGCGGCGAATCCGCGGGCGACGGTCAGCGCTTCTTGTTGCGTTATCTAAAGAGACAAGAGTGATGAGTTAGCGACCGACTGCATGGGCACCGATCGACGACGAAACGGCGCAGGTGCTGCGCTGACCGACGTGCCAGCGTCCCGGTTAACGGGAACAGCCACGGTTGAGTGTCGGCCCTGACGCATGCACGCCACGCCGCTTTTCGACAAAGCATTAATTTCGAAAAAATAAGACTCCGATCCATTTGTCCGTTTTACGGCTCACTCGAACAACTCGATGAATCCCTGCCGCAGTTGCAAGTTGGTCGGCTCGATCGGTTCATCCAAGCCGTGCCTCGCCACGACAGGTCCTCAACGTCGAAAGGAGAAGAACCCCGCGAGCACAGACCTCAGCCGAGGCTGAGACGACGCCGCCGTCCGCCACCGGAACCGGATGCCGTGCAATCGGCCGATGACTTCTAGACCGACCTACCGACCGACCGACCGACCGACCGACCGACCGACCGACCGACCTACCGACCGAACACCGATCGTTCTGAAAACCGCATCGCTAATGGGACCTGCCTTTAGCGGCTGTGTAACAGCCTCGGCTTTTGCAGGTGACCGTTTCTAGTACAGGCTCTAGCAACGACAACGGGTTGAAAGGCCGTCCGCCACTCCGATCGAGTGACAAAAATGGCAGGACGATGACCGCGCCGGATGCGCTAGGAGCGCGTCTGTGATCGACCTCGTCGGCCGCGCAGCGCCATTCTTAAGGTCTTTAACTCGACGTTAAAATTAGTTTTACGTTCAAGTAGCAAAAGTGGTGGTCTGTCGTCCGGGTCGTGTCTTATCGTCGTCGAAGC